ATTCAAACGAAAACCGAGGTTTCAGAAAAAACTATGCGTCGACAACCTCTTTACAAAAACCTGTAAGCCTGTGCTGATATACGTTCGTAGTTGTAACTATGATAAATGGCAAATCTGGTGTCAGCTTCGTTTGGACAAGTGACAGTAGGAACGGGTGTGTCATACTCCTAAAATAAAACAGCCTAGAGACCAGTTGGGTTACAAACAAATGAGCAAGGCCCAATCCTCCAGACTCCAGAGGTAGGAACAAGTTATCCCGCCTCATCCGTTCCCAAGAGGAACTCCAAATGAAGGTGACGAACAAACGATGGAATGCTTGGATTCGTGGGCGGGCACAGTGTAGTACTTGCAGGACGTACATAAGTTTTGATGCGAGAAAAATATTGCAGACTGCGGCCTTGGAGAAGACGGAAAGATCTCGAACTCGCCAGGCGTCGATTTTCCGTTTGATAGTTGTTGCAACTGACATCAAGTATGGCCTACTATTCCTTGTTTGATCGAGCGGTACGCCAAGATATTTGATTTCTGGCTGATTCCATTGGATTCCTGCAAATTTGGACGGCGCTGTTCTCGACATGCCCAACCAAAATCCATTCGACTTGTCGTTATTAACAAATGCGCCTGTCAACGGACGAAAGTTATCCGTTACTCGGAGTGCTTCTTCTACACTTTCCTTGTCAGAGGAAAAAAATGCAACGTCATCGGCATAAGCGAACAACGTCACCTCAATGAAATGGATGATGTACCCTCGGACATTAAGGTTTCTGATTATACTAAGGCAAAATGATTGGAGATATAAAGGAAACAGAAGAGGAGATAGAGAACATCCTTGCCTCACTGAAGATTTCACAGCGATTGGAGCTGAAAAAGTGTTATAACAATGATTTTGGTAGAGCAATTTCTGTAACATAACTGAACGCTTGAAAGGACACAGTGTCTCCATTATTGACATGGGAAAGAATTCGGAACAAAAAAGAGTGACTGACCCGATCAAAGGCTTTTTAAAGATCAACTTGTACCAATGCAACTTGATTGTTACTATCTGTCGCACACTCCAGAACGGATCTGGCGACGTGTACGTTGGTTTGAATTGTTCTTTCTCGGATTCGGCACGTCTGGTGTTCTCCAATTAGAGAATGAGTTACCTTGTGAAGTCTTTCTGTGAGTCTTTTTGAAAAAATCTTGTAGTCTACATTACACAAGGATATTGGTCTGTAGCTTCCAGTCTTTTTCAGCACTTCTTTATTTGTACTTTTAGGTATTAAGACCGTATGACCTTGATAAAAAGTGGGTGGAAGTATCTTTTCTTTGTATCCTACATGGAAGACATCAAGCAGCACAGGAGCTAATAGGTCAGTAAATTTCTTATAGAATTCTGCGCTGAGTCCGTCCGCTGAGTCCGTCGGGACCTGGTGTCTTATTCATGGGAAGTGAGTCTATGGCATATCGGACTTCTTCAACGGTTAACGCTCCATCTATCAAAGCTTTTTCTTCTTCTGAAAGGACTGGTAAGTTGTACAGTAATTTTTTCACACCTTTTGCATCCCCATCTGGTATCACTTTGCCAAAAAGGTACGTGTAGTGGTCTTGGAAGACTTTAAGAATCTCAGGTGTATCGTACACAGTGGTGCCTTCGTTATCAATTGCTAGAATTTGTTTTGACAGGGCGTATCTTCTCTCATCATTTAGCGATCGACGTGTTAGGGGTTCATTGAGCGTAAACCGTTCCGTTCGTGAACGAACAACTGCTCCTCTATACTTGTCTGCATCAAATCGTTGTAACTGTGCTTTGGTTATGTTAATTTCCTCTGTGTATGTCCCAGGGCTAAACGATTCAAGTTCGTATAAGGTTGCCAGGTTGTTGAATAATTTTCTTCGGTCATTCTTCCGCTGAAACGCCAGGATACTCGAATATTCAATGGCCCAATTCTTGATGTTCTGTTTAAACATATCCCACTTTGCAAAAACGGTAAGTGTAGGGAGTCGCAAAGCATCTGACAACAGACAAGGAATGCGTTCAGTGAACCACTTTTCAGAAAGGAGAGTTACATTAAATTTCCACAAGCCCCATTCGGGGCGAAAGCATGAACGCTTTTTTTCAGCGATGCAAATTGATACCAGGCAGTGGTCAGAGAATATATGTTTCACATTATAATCACTGATTTGAGGGAACAATTCACCGCTGACATAAATCCTGTCAAGGCGAGCATGTGATGAGTTTTGAAAGTGTGTGTAATGTAGATCTCCATATTTGACATCACCAATGTCTATTAGGTTTTTCTCAGTTATTAATGATTCTAGTTTGGTTGCGCTCGAATCATTTCTGGGCGTTGGTTGCGAACGATCTCTATTACTGCAAACACAGTTGAAGTCGCCAAGAAGAACAGTATTGCTCTCTGTAGTCAAATAAAAAGATACAAATGAAAAGAGAATATTCCTAGCCGACACTGCATTAGGGGCATAAACACGTATGAATTAACCTCCAATCCTTATCGTCATACGTTAGGTCACACAAAATAAAACGCCCCTCCACATCACTGGTCAAGGAAATTGACGACAAAACTCTGACTTTCTTCAGAAAGAGAAAACATCCCGCTGAAGTACCGCAGGCATGACTTACGCAAATTTCAAAATCACTCATGAACGGTTCCAATGCAATTTCGATTTCTTGCTCTGTTGAAATCTTGGTTTCTTGTACTACGAAGATGTCTATCTGTTGATTACGCAAAAGCTGAAGGAGTTTATGTTGTTTCCTCCTAGATTTTAAACCTCGAACGTTTAAGGTGGCCACAAGAAATGGAAGGGCGCTACGCATGACACTTTATGTTTGGGGATTGTGGGCTGCATGGCGAAATTCCCCGACAGGTGCAGAGCCTGCTTTATGTTTCTCGTACGGTTTGTGTCGTTTGGCTGCCTGTTTGCGGTCTAAAAGCTTTGACTGTGGGGCTAAGCTGTCACCTGGCATTTCGTCCTTGCGTGGGTCTTCATGGATCATGCTAGCCCCAGTTGTGGTTTCCTGACCGTCTTCTTTGGAAGACGTTGTCTCTTCAAGGTTCTTTCCTTGCGTCGAGTTGAGAGTAAGAGGTGGAAAGTCATCTGATGCGTCCCTCATCGTGGAAGCTCGCGAGCACACCATCACCACAGGGACTGTTGTGTTCGCTCCTTGTGTAGCTGGCTCTTGGAGTCGTGCCTCAGCCTCACGTGGTGGTTGTGCAGGGGTGAGTTTTCCTTCATAGTTAACGGCAGAAGAAATGTCGCCTTTAGGTTCGAGGACCTCACTGACGTCCATGGGGTTTTCTGTCGACGGTTCTTTGCCTTGGACTATTCCTCGACGCAGTCTGTCTGCATAGGTAAGCACGCAGTTTTCTACTGTATTCCAGAAGCGTCGGCACTGAGAGCATCGCGGTATCCGACAGTACCGGCGGATGTGCCCGACCCTGTTGCACCGTAGACAGAGCAGGGGTCGACCAGGTACAAGCACGAGGCACTGGCATCCGAAGACCATCAACACGTATGGAATTTGGGAAGGGGACACACCTTCCGCCAGCGCCAGTATCTCGTCTCTGTTCATAGTCTGCAAATTCTCCATACCTGTAACCCTCCACTTCTCACGTTCGATTGAGATCACTTTTCCGAACGGCTCTAGTGCTTCAACTATTCTGCGGTCTTCGATGTGACTCGGTAACCACAGCAGCTTTAGCTTCCGTCCTTGGTTTCAGGGTCGATCACAAGTCATTTCCGGCTTTTGACGGTGAGCTCTTTACATGCGGCCAACTTGGCCTTTGTAAGGGCATTCGCGCACGTTATCATCCAGACGTGGGACGTCTGGTATTGCCCGAGACTAATTACGTCATCTGGGTTGACGAGGGGGAAAATGGCACCCCTGAAGTCCGGGGCACGATATGGTCGGGCCGACATGTGAGCAAGAAGAAGGAGCGAATTAAGTACGACGTTACCTGAAGGTAAACGGGGCATCAGATTACGGTAGGTGTCCATACTGTTGACAGAAGCAGACTCAGACGAGGAAGGAATAACTCGGCCAGAGGCCGATTTTGGGCTTTCTGTGGAGAGCATTAAAAGTCCTCACGTTCGAAGCGGCGCCTTCTTCTTTCTCCACGCTACACTCCAACATTGCATTAGCCGCTCAACGTCTATACAGGAGAGGGCGCTGCGGTCAAACGCTCACCCTGCGTATATAACCACGATCCATACCACACATTGTCTTTTTGACATGGACCGTTGACTTAAGCGGTGGAGATGCGTTCCCACGGCTTCTAGTGGATCCAAGCTGATCCGCTAGAAGAACCACTGGCTCTATATTTCACCGACCATAAAGCAGTAATAATGAAACGAAACACAACCCGGAACTCAGCACTACCTGTGAGCAATAAAAAAAAATCAGCACCATCAGCACTACCTATGAACAATAAAATCAGTATCATCAGCACCACCAGAGCTTCGCCCCAATCAACATCATTCACCGCGAGGCGATGCGGCCTTTTTTTAGGGTTTATTTGCTTTTATTACGTGTTTTCGGTGATTATATCCAGTGTCGAGCCCCAATGAATCCCAATAAATCAGGATTTATTGGGTATCGACATCGTCATTTATCCTACAACAAAGTGCTAAATTACTAATTTATAATTCATTATTATTTCGCTCAAATAAATTATTGTCATCTAGTCCAGGGGTAACACCACACATGGCAATTTAAATTAAAAAAAAATGTTACAGAAAACGAATTCTAAGAACAGTCAGTAATGTGTCATGTGACCATCCTAGCGAACCTCTTCTAAGGGCTTGAGTATGACGCACTGCGACTTGTATTTATATACATATATATCGACTATGCGTGACCTTTGAAACATACGTAGAAAAAAATGTTAATAGTTTTTAGGGGCGAAGCTCCCTAGGGCCAAGCGCCTTGTTCGTCCGGCGTCCGTGCTCACATCGATTGCCATCCCATCTGTCTTCTTAAAAAAAGAAAAAAGAAATGTTTCCGCAGTCGACACGACTCGAACCCGTGCGGGGAGACCTCAATGGATTCCTAGTCCATCGCCTTAACCACTCGGCCACGACTGCGGGACGAGTAGGGGGTTCTGAGATGTGGTATTAACTCAAGAGCTGGGGGTGTCATGGATGAAACGTTGCATGTAGCCGCCCAACGTCTATACAGGAGAGGGCGCTGCAGTCAAATGCGTATATGATCGCGTTAAACTTAAAAATGAGCAATACGAAAAACTCAGCACCATCAGCACTACCTATGAACAAAAGCAGTATCATCAGCACTACCAGAGCTTCGCCCCAATCAACATCAGTCACCACGTGGAGACGGGATCATTTTTTTTGTAACCTCCCTTACACCAAGATTAAGAACGTATCCCACCAGAAACACGGAGTATCGCAAGCTTGAAAATTACAATATAACATACGGTGAGTAAATGTTGTCAAGTACAGTTCCTAAACTACTTAACAGTCTTGAAACCCAAAACATCTATCTTCTCCCTTCTTCAGTAGAAGATATCCGAGCATTTTTTTAAATATTACTTTTTACTAAATTTATAAAGACAACCATTGAAAACTTCTTTGTAATGAACATGATACCTTTTTCGTTTGCACTGAAATACAATGTGCCTCTCTGTATTTTTCACTTCAGTATTTTTTTTTTATTTCATAGAGGGGGGAGGGGTGCACGTTAATACAGCCTGAACTTAGTTAGCCCTAATGGCCGTGATTGTACCCCAGCTGTAGATAAAAAAAGTAGTCAGTGCAGGACAGGCGGTAGCCTGGGGTCTTTAACGTGCACCACACAGTAGTAATATACGACCGCACGCCGGTATGATGCTTATCCGGTTCGAAACGGGCAGAGGTGAAGATTAAGCCCAGGATGCATAGATTCTGCAGCGAGAGGCTTCGCTCGACATGCTCTGAGTTGGTGTGCGCCAGCCCACTCGGCCACAGAATCCCCCCTTTTACTTCATATTCTTCTTTGAACTGTTTAATGTTTGTTTTGTTTTGGTGCAGCGTTTTAAGGTCTTTTTATGCGTTTATTTTTCTGTGCCACTGCTTAAAATGGGAGGAGGAGGGGCCGAGGGCTCGTCAAACTGCATCATGTGTAGTTTCTCCTCGGTCTCCCTCCGTCATTTGCTCTTTTGAAGGAACTTAAACATTAATATTATAATGATTACAGAACGTCACCCTCGTACCGACAACAGAAGGAGACGGAGCAACCCGTGCAAAAATGTCAGATATGGCCCTGATATATTTTATATAAGGCCATGTGTGATAATATAAGGAGTCAAATATAGCAATATTCTGTTATATATATCAGCAAATGCGGCCAGATATCGCCATATAAGGGGGCAAATACTGCCAAATGTGACCTTATAAGTGCGTCAATACGGCCATATATGGCCATATACGCGTGCAAATGTAGCCCCTGATAATGATATATGGGCCGGTTTCGGTCGTGCAAGCAATAAGTCTTATGTACTCGCCAAGACACTAGTTGATTGATCTATATTGCATGAGTCTCATATAATTGGTTAACTATTGTTAACATCCTTAAAGTGAAGTTATTCCAGATATACCCGTGTTTGGCAGACCCAGATATAGATATATAAAAAATTGGGCATGTCTGCTAGATAAGCCTCATAAAAACTGGTGTGCTTGATACCGTCAGATATGCCCAATATTTTATATAGCCATATTCGTTCTTTTATAAAAATCCAGATATGCCATTTTCGTAAGGGAAGGGACGTACAAAGAACAAGCAACCTCACGGACAGTTAGTGAAGGTTATCAATGTGTAGTGCTACACAAAAAATAAATCTGCAAATAAAAAAAAAATTGGAAATGTTTATATACAATATATACACTTTGGGGTTTTTCAGATTTCCCCGATTCCGAGAAAACCACTTGGAGAATTATTTATTTGGGTTTCAGCGGGTATTAATCGAACACAGGGAGCTCCACCCAAAAACCAAGTGACTCCGATCGAGCGGTTCGAAACTCTCCCTATTGCAGGTTTTCTGGGAATCGGAAGGGCAACCGGAAGTCCCGAAAGATTAGGAAACACGAGGACGGAATGCGCGCCGCGTGCAGTTCACCGAAGTACGCATATGACCCTCCCCGCCCCCCTTCCCCAAGACACACGCACACACACACACACACACACACACACGCACGCGCGCACGCACGCACACACACACACGCACACGCACACAAACACACAGACAGACACACACACACACGCACACACAAAGACACAGACACACACACACACACACATACACGCACACACACACACAGACACACATCTACAAAATCTTCAATTACAGACGGCGCTGCGCGACGACTAATATCGAGCACACGAACGACCGTGCCACGGGTTTCTCGTTACAGTTCATTCATAACGTACGAGATGCTGGCCTGACTAAGAGGACGCAACTCACACCAAGGAGAGAGTCTTTGCAATTTCATGCCGGACGCCATTACGGCCCAGATTGCTCGCTACTGCGCATGCACTGCGTCGTCGCGTGGCATGGTGGAAAGCGGGTGACGAGGAGGAGACGCTTGCGGCTTGCAGACGATCAAAGCTCGCGTCACCTGCTCGCAGTTCGCATTGCGAACGCGGCCAACAAACTGTGTGACCCTGATCGAGCTGTTGGGAAACACTCTGAAGCCTAGGCACTCTCGTGGGAACACGAGACCCGAAGGTCCTTAATTACTTTGTTCTCGTCGCGACGCGTTCTGCAACGCAATAATTAGTCAGCGTTTCGATATATCCCGGCATTGTGAAGGTTCCGTATGCATGAAGGCGCGAAGGCGGCGGATGTATATACGAGGGTACAAAAGTTTGTCGGGTCTGTTGTAATGGAGGAAGTTGACACGGCGGAAAGTTGGTCTGTGCTGAATTGGCGTTTCAGGGCTCTCGTTTTGGTCCAGGTGAGAGGGAGAGCGTCCTCCGCCTATTGTTGGACGTGGCGCCACAGCTTGCGCCGCGTAATCAACTAACGAGACATTTTTTGCCTATTCGCAAGCTCAAAATTAGGAAAAACATTTTGGCGGCAAGCAGATTCCCAAATAGCGAGAAAGGTCTCGCGGTTTCTGATGTGGTAGTTCTTAGTACTCCCTCACCTACCGGTAGATTTTCAGCTTGTGTGCGGCAGCAGAACAACTTGATCTTTTTGTGAGAGAGGCACGGGTTGTCACTGGATTCCGAAGTGAAATAGCAGACGATAAAAATTTCAGCTCGCGTCGGATTTCCATCCGCCGAGGCGCTCGGTTCGTAGCAAACGTTCAAACTTTTTTCGGTTCGTTTGCAGGCGAATTACGCTGTTTTCTTGTTTTATTTCTGTCTGCGAATGACGCTTCGTAGCAGACAAACAGCGTTCTTCGCTCGCATTAGCAGACGAACCCTTTACGAACGCTATCTTAGCTCATACCTCAAGACAACAAACTATGCGACGTGAGACGTGGAAGAGGAGGAAACGAGAAGCACACGGGGACGTCGGAACAGCCACCTCTGGTTAGAATGATTAGTGAGTATATCTTAAGCTAGCAGCCTCTCTCACCACTGCACTCGTCGAACACGTTAATACGCGTTCGACGAATGTAGGGGACAGAATGGCTGCTAAAGCCTTGGGTCTACGTAAAGTCACTTTATCCTGGGAAAGTTGCGCCGTCGCCTTCCCTGCCTGCTAGCCTGACACAAACAAATACTAACATGCAGACAAGGAAAACCCTGCAAGGAGATTGGCTAATCGGTCTTTGTTGCCACGGCTATCGCCATTTCGGTCCCTTACATTTTTCGAGAGTGAGTTATAAACCAGTCGCAACAAGATCACCATGGAACATCATCGAACTGAATAGGTTTCTGCCCAATACAAGCATCTTTGGCACTGTATGCAATTCACTTAATAATCATGCATATCTCCACATGTCTTTTACAGTGCTGTTGTTCTTTTTGCGTATTTCGAGACAAGAAACTTAGTTTTTAGTGCCTCCGAGCACCGACACCGCTTCTGGGGCGTTACCAAAATGTGCGCTTGTTTCGTCGGTGTGTGGATAGAAAGATCTCGGAATACAGAAAACGTCTTTATAAAGCTACCCGTCACCAACACATTTAAATTGGCTCACCGAGAGAGGTCAAAGAGAAATTGCTCGTTCCATGAACCAAAGTGCCAACCATACGGGGAGCTTGGCGATACTCTCCCACGGTCCACTGACTTTAGGTTTATACCAACTAATCATCACAATCAGAGCCCTGCGTTCTGACGTCGCAGCGTGCTCTCGTCTCCTCCTCTCCCTCGGTTTTTTGGCGTATAGGATTTCAGGCTCGTGGTCACCTAAATCGAACCCTAGAAGTCTATAGAAAAACGGTTTCACGAAACGAATTCTCACTTCTGGTAAGCCGCGTTTTACCATGTTGACGAACAGCGTCCACCCCATTCCCCATCAATTGGCATGCAGACGATAAGTTGGCTTCGCTTTCGCTTAAGGTGATCGCCCAAGCACATGTGTGGCACCGTCGACGATACGTTAAGTACAACGAGAGACGCATTTGGGAGGAAAGTACGCGTTAAGCGCACCAACATCTGGAATATAGAAGAAGATGAGGGCAGGAGGAGAAAAAAGACAGGTTAACCAAGGCGGCTGCCTCGGTTGGCTACTCTCAGTTGTGGAAGGGGACGAGGACCAAAAAGGAGGAGAAAATAAAAGCAGGAGATAGAGGTAACATAGCAGCACTCACGTTAATACTGTGTGCGCAAAATCAATAGTCGAGGGAGTGCCGCGCACTATCGAATATGACACTAAAACTAAGACACCGAAAGTGCGTGCTGTATTGCCATCAATGTTTCTCCTAAAACACTCGAGTTTATGCACCAGCGCGAAGTTCAGTTGGGCACATGTACTCCACTTAACGGAATTATCAAACAGATAGCCTTGATAAGCAGCCAAAATAGTGGATGGTAGAGCAATTTTTACAAACAAACTTCGAGGCCAGCTTCTTATAGAAATAACAGAAGGGCGTTAGTGACAAGGCGTGAAGTTGGGGCTATATGGCGCATAATGAAAAT